ATAGATAGATAGATAGATAGATAGATAGATAGATAGATAGATAGATAGATAGATAGATAGATAGATAGATAGATAGGCAGGCAGGCAGGCAGGCAGGCAGACAGACAGACAGACAGACCTTACATAGTCCAGTTGGCAAAATCTTTCTCATTCCTCATGTTCCCATCCAGGCAGAACATAAATTTTCACCTCCCTTAAGCCAAATAGTATCAGCTTTAAAAAATAATATTGACGTCTCCTGTAGAGACTCACACTGAAAAATATGTTTGATGAGTTTAAAGGCTGGAAATAATTTGCTACGGCCCTCCATTGATGATGAATCAGTGCTCCTGTCTTTCAGTAGACACAGGCATGACCACAGATGATTCCTTTGATGAGAAAGGTTGCCATTGTGACGTAACTGTTGAGGATCTTTCCGCTCCCTTGAAGGTTGTCATCAGAGCTGTCAGGTAAGCATAGATACGTACAAAAGTATGCTTAAATTAGGCTGTTGGACAATATCACTTTTGATCCGGCTGTAAACAAATAACATTCATTTTGTTTGCATAAAAAACACTGATCCTTCAATTTAGATTTAGTTAGTGACATTCCAGTTTTAGTATTTGAATTTAAATATTTTTCTTTTTTTTCTGTTTCACCACACCTTCTTTTAAACCTTTAAGTTGGTTTCTTGATGTCTTTGTAAAGAACTATAAACCATACAGATATCCTGGTCCAGTTCCAGTTTATCGTTTGGGGTCCTGTCCAGGATTGTGTCAGCCACTCCCTTAATGAGACACTGGTAATAACCTGTAGAGCTTTAATTAGTCTGGGTTATTGACAGTACAAATGCTAGCTTATTTTAAAAGAGATAGTTTGTTTAATCCCAACCATCTTTAAGCAACACATCAAAAGTGAGAAGTGTTGAATTAGCCCAACTCCTCTACTGATCATTATAAAAAAAAAAAAAGGCAAGTTAAAATATCCTTTACAAGATGTGTTCCTTACAAAGAAACATCCCCATTTTTTTGGTCTGGCAGAGAGAGCAGCCTGAGAAGAAGTTATTAGTGTGGCTTTAAAAAGCAACATTACTAAAGTCATTTGATTCTAACCTTCTTTGCTTTAAGAAATGAATCCACAGATGCACAAACTGCACCTCTATCTTCTGACTTCTACTCAGCATGCCCCCTCCATAGGTTGCCAGAACCCAGCTCTTTCCCAGGGTTTCAGGTTGAGGACTGGAAATCCCATCCCCGTTAGGTCTATTATTGCAGCGGGTCATTTATCTCGGGGTGTTTCCATTAAAACTGTGAACCAAACAGACAACTGGAATCAAGCAGAAACCAACCGGGAATTGACATCAGCAAAGAACATAGATTTTCTTCCCTCCATCAATATTGTTAACTTATCAGTGCCTACGTTCAACAAATAGATGAAAGTAGATTTTATGTGTGAATGTTTTGTGAATGAGACATTTATTTTTTTTTCTACAATCATTTTCTTTTTACATTTTGTATATAAAATGTAAAATGTTTTTTGTCTCTTTTTAGTCCTTCAAAGTAATTGATGGAAAAGGGCAAACTGGTTTCTTGTTTTCCACCATCAAAGTGCAAATAAAAACATATGAAAATATGCTTTTATTCACATTTTGATGGCTTATCTTTAGTGATGAGCTCTAACAATTTAAGCTTAGAAGGGCCATCCCCCTAATTATTAGCTGCCTTGTACACATGTTTTAGATTGAAGAAGGGAATCTGTCATGGTAATTTCCAAACATTAAGATTAATCCCAATCTGAAGAAAAATGTTAGTAAAATTGATGCTTTAAAGCCGCATGTTACAAAGCTATGACCACATTAGTATTACCACATTACCTATGTTTTTAATCTAATAAAATAAGGGAAGAAAATGATCCCCAAATGATGGTTTCAAGCTGTTACAGTACCGCCATCTACTGGTTTGTTTTAGCAGTTGCAATCATTTATATTATTATTTAATTTTATTACCTCATGTATTTCCCATGTACACTGTTCATCTGTGTTCTTAAAGCATTTGTGTTCATGGGTCTAATTTAAACATGATTTTATGTGTTCTCTGTATTTGTTAAGGATCATGAAATTTCATGTTGCTAAGAAGAAGTTTAAGGAGACTCTGCGTCCATATGATGTGAAGGATGTTATTGAGCAGTATTCTGCTGGACACCTGGACATGCTCTGCCGCATCAAGAGCCTTCAGACAAGGTCAGGACACTCTGGAAAAAACACTAGAATACACACTTTCTCCACACTTTGGGGTTTTCGTTTCATTTAACTGTTATACTCTTATTTAATGAATACTATTTTTGCTCAACTTTGACTTTTTAAATTATATTTTTTCTCACTCTGCTTACGTATTTAAAAATCATATCCTTTACAGAAAAGGTATGATGTCATTCTAGACATTTTGAAAATTCAGAATATTTTTTCCTCTGGAGAAAATCCCACTTAAAGACAGCTTGAGTCTGTTTTTTTGTTTTTGTTTTTTTTCATGGGTACAACATTTATTAAATCTTGCATTACTACAAATATGTAGCATAATCCCCTTTTGGTGATCAGAGAGCTTTTAAAGCCTGAATATTTTCAAAAGATTTCAGTATTCAGGTGGCAGTTTTAGTGCAGCCATACATTTTGGATTATTTATTTTTTTTTTTTGAAAGACCGATCAATGGGATACTGACATTTTTCTGAAACAAATTACCTTGTTCACTAGTATTGCATTATAAACTGTTTTTGTTGCCTAACTTCTTTTTAAATTACTTATTTAACTTGAACAAAGAAAGTACAAAATAACATAAACATAGGCTTTTTTTTGATACCCATATAAACTAAACTAGTAAGTTAATGGAACTCCGACCACTAGATGGCACCCAAGTATTTTCAGTATGCCAACGTCACTTTGGCTATGTGGTGCAGAAAGGTCTCCATCAAGTGAGAATGTCCTGGTATTTTCAAATGTTTATGAAGCTCTGCACCTTTTTTCCAGGTTTTCAGGGCCTTTGAAGGAGAAACAGGCCCACAGCATCATAGAACCTCCATTGTACATAGAGGATAAAAATGTGGAAGAGCTTCATCTTAGTGCCATTTGGGTCAAGGGAGCAATTAAAGATTATGTAGCATTTAAGAAGCATCTTAAATTTTTCCTTGTAGTACATTTGAAAAGGAATCTTCATGGTTTCCCTCCAAAACTACCAGTTGGCCTTTGGATCGATGTCTTCACCAGCAATCCTTACAGTTTTCAAGAGCAATGTATGCTCTATTTATAAATTTTAGTATATTATTAACAAAAAACCTACTGATAATGCTTCATCAGCTGTTCACTAACCTGTTATCTCTTTTCATGGGTGCATTGCAAATTAAATCGCTTTATTACAGCAAGAAATCCTTTCTCACCAAACCTACCTAATCAGAGTGTTTCTATTTCTCTATCTCCATGTCAAGTGTCTTTTCTTTCTCCCAGACTGGATTCAGTAGTGGGCCCCCCTCCAAGGCCATTAAGAGGCCGTGTCAAGACGTTTTCTTCTCCCTCTCTGCATTTAAGTTACAGCCAGACCCGGAGGAAGCAGTCAGCTGCTGGGTTAGAGTTCCTCTGCCCTGATCGTTTATGCAATGGCTTCCTTCTTAACATGGCCGCATGTATCTTGGGTCAAACAACACTTATTAGAATAAAGTAGGTTTTGTTTTAACCTGCCACCATACTTGCTGAAAGGAATTCAATTTCCTCTGTGACATGTGAAGAAATGTCTGCAGATAAAGTGCAGGTTGACCCAGATTTGGCTTGTTCTTATTTCTGCAGATTTTTTATTTATGGATTTCATTTATCTATCGGTGGACATTGTTTGGAAATTCTAATTGTATAGCTACTGATATGACAAATAAAATAAGTATAACTTTTATCAGAGAGGCGCGACTTTTTATGGAGTGACGTTTATCAGAGGGCAGTGATCAGTAGGGATGGGCAATTATTGTATAATTTTTTCTCACAATGGTGAAAGCAAATAAAGTAGAAATTATTCTTTCTGTTGTGACAAAAATAGACTAAAATTGTTTGCAACCCAAAATCTGCTGTTAGATAGAGGTTACTTTTGCTATTGGAAAGATTTCTTCCACTGATGGATATCTGTTGTTGGAACTAAAGATTTGGGTCATTTTTTTATTAGTTAACATTATTTTTGCTAGTGCTTAGATTTTCTTTTATTTGTCCTAGTATTTTTTTTTCTGTTTTTTTCACTCTTGGGTTAATTTACAGGTGCAGGATTTAAAATATTCAGAGTATTGTTTTCATAAAGTTATTTATATATGTAAAACAGCAAACTTAAACTGACTCGTAAAAAAAAAAAAATCACAGAGGGTGCTTGGATTTAGATTTAGGATTTATAAGTTAGTTTTAGTACAGTTTTAGTAATAGTTTTACCCTTTTTAGTTGCAGATTTTTAAAATTCCAATTAACAAAATTGTTTCCCTAATTTTAGTTTTCGTTTTGCGGTTAGATTCAGCAAACTATAATAAAGGTGGAGTCAATGCAAAAATCTGGCAATCAACTATGTTAAAAGTTTCATTGCTGTAATGTCTTTAAAGGTTTTTTCATTAATTATTAGGAAGAGATTGACATACAATTCTAAAGTAAATAGAAACTGGATTTTTTTTGTAATTAACACTCTTTTTGATTTAGTTTAATGTTTATTGGCTGATGTCCATCCTTCTGTCATGTTCTCTCAGTAACCAGCTTTATAGTCAAATAAGTCATGTTATATTGGACTTGATTGGAACTGTTGGCTTTTTGACACTGGCCTTGATTTTAAGCATTTGTTTTTGTGGGGCTCAGACTTTTTGTATGATTTTCCTGATCCTTCAATTTGCTCTAAAGCACTTGGTCCTAAAATAAACTGACCCAGCCTTTAGCCACAAAGAAAAAGTGTTAGTACAATTAAAATAATTTTTCTCAGTGCAGTTAAAAGATTACGATGAAACGCTGGTTTATATTGCCCACCCCTACTGCTTAGACTGAACAAGTTCAAATGATAAACTCTTAAGTTTTCTATTTTCTTTTATTTATTTTTTTTGCCTGTTCATTTGTTACTTAAAGAAATCAAGGGTGTGCTCTGTTTCTGTGTTCTTGTTCGCAAAAAAGAACATGTCCTATACATATGAGATTTTCAAAAACGGTCTGTTTTTGGCAGCATTTTTCATAGCACCTTGAACTTAAACCTTTGCTCTTCTGATCTTCTAATGTAAAAGTCTGTTTTTGTTTGAATTTTGGCCTGCACGGTGGATTAGTTTGTAGCACTGTTGCCTCTGTTATGCCTCAGTATGACTCTGGGTTTGATTCCCAGCCCGGGGTGATTCTGCAAAAAGTTTGCATGTTCTCCCTGTACATGCGTGGGTTCTCTCTGGGTACTCCAGCCTCCTCCTACAGTCCAACATTACGACTGTTAGTTTAATTGACTTCTCTAAATTGTTCTTAAGTGTGAGTGTGGGTGTGTGCATGTCTCTCTGTGTTACCCTGTGACACACTGATGACTAGTCCAGAGTGTACCCCGCCTCTCGCCTGCAGACTGCTTGAGATATGCAAGGCCCCACTGTGACCTTTATGGTATAAGTAGGAGAAGATGGATGGCTGTTTCAAAATTAAATTACTGGATGGCGAGCTATCTTATTGATGCCTGTTATGCAGTGGGGTTTTCACTAGCTTATGGTTTATGCCTTAATGTTTTACACTTAATGAAAATAGGTATACTGGGAAGTCAAGTCCTCATTTGGACTCCTCAGAAACATCATACTGCATGTTTAAAGTATTAGTCTCCAGCAGTGAAAATTGTTCAATTCAAGGCAGGAAACCAGGACAGGTGTTTTTATAGATTAATGTAGCAGCTAATTTAGAGCTTCAACTGAAAATATATCTTAATTTAAATATTTAGATGCTGCGCTGAGTAAAATCGGTGCAGAGAAAACTTTTCTAACCAAATGAAGTCAGAGCTGATGCAAACACATGCTAATGTGCTGGCATGTTAAGGACACTGTAATCTGGTCCTGATATCTGCAATCAAAAGGGTTTGTCTTTTTAAGCTTGCTTGTTTTTTTGTTAGTTTTTTTTTTTTTGGTTGCACAGTAACTAGTTTAATGTTTTTTGTAATGTCTACACCCAGCACCTATCCCTTTTTTTATTTACTCGTATTGGTAGTTTCAGTTTCATTTAAGCTTCCCGTGAAAAGGACAAAAGAGTGTTGTGTGTTCATGAAAACTCTGCTTAAGTTTTCATATGACAGCTGAAGTAGAAACAGATCGCTCTCTTTCCAGTAAGCCCAGTTTTTTCTGGTTTGCCCACTTCAGGGAGCTGATGATGCAAAGCCTATCCTTGACAACTTCTGCGCAAATGTGCAATCAGAAAACTTAAGTTTTAATGGAAACTTGAACCTTAAATAAATTTTTTCTGCATATAGAGACATGTACAACATGCTTTTCTCATGGTCTGTTGTTAAACTACACTAGACTTGTTTGTTTAAGGTCAGTAAGGTATCTTATTTCTGTTTGCAAAAGGCCAAACAGACAAACAGTGACTGTTTTTTTATTTTTTTATTACTTTATTTTTTTTATTATAGGGTTAGGGGAAGCGCTATTCTCATTGTATAGGATAACACCTACACCTACACCTAGTTTAATTCTTTTTAAAGTAGCCACAATGGCATGTAGATATAATTATGGTAGGTTGTTAAATTAGCAGTCTCAGTTAGCATTGGTGCAAAAAAAATTTGTGATAGTCCTTTTTTTTTTTACTGTTGTTAGTAATGTATGTATGTATGTATATGTGTCACTGGAGCACATGTTTCGTTACAGCCATAAGAAAAATGTCTGTTGGGCCTGGATGGTAATATTTTCTATTCACCAGATGGATTTTTTCTATAAAGATGATGTCCTGGGTGGGGTTGGTCATCCCTCATCTTTGTGGCCCCTTCAGAGAAGACAATTAGAGTAGATCTCCTTTGAAGGGAATCCAACAAAATAGTTTTAGTACCAACATGGCTAAAAGGTTGGTCTGAAAAAGCCATTCCAACACCAAAGGCATCATGATGGTTGGAGGTTTTGATGCAAGAGGGACTGATCTGAACGGGATCCCTTAAATAGGTGGAAAAAGTGAAGCATGATTCGGGGATATTAGCTTAAAATGATAAACATGGGCAAAAATCGGTTTTTGAAAGAAAAATGGCAAATTAGATATAACGGCTAAATACCAAGAAAGTCAGTGTTTTGGAGTGACCATAACACCAATCTAAGGCAAAGACAAGTCTGAGCGAACAGTTCTGTCAGGAGGAATGGGCTAAAATTCCTGCAAACTCATGTTAGTCAAAAAAAAAATAAATAAATTTACTAAGAAACTGTACAATGGTCTCCTACAGTAAAAGAGTCTTATCATTCTGGCATTTAGAAAATAATTTATGTAATCCTAACTAACCTGAAATGGAGGTGGTTTAGTCTGATCTAATGTCAGACAGTGAAGAAAAAATAATTGTAAAGTATTTCACAAAATGGATGAAAATAGCTTATTTACAGAAATTTAGATCACATTGAACTTTCAGTCTGCTGTGCCTCTGTGGGACAGAATGTGAAGATCACAGAGTAAGAAGTCTTTAAATTTATGCTTCAGCTTTGATTGACACAAATTACATTTTCAGAGCTTGAACGTGTCCCGAAAAGAACAATAGATTTATGGCTCAATTTTTCCTTTTTCTTTGCCATTTGGAGAAATAACTTTGCCAATATCTGTCTGTGAAATGGGAAAAAAGATTAAGTCTTGAGATTCATTTTTTGATAATGCTTAAATACCTGACATGCATATATAAACTTAATATCTAAAGAAATGCATAAAAATTGCACTTTATCTTTTAGGTGATGCCTGGATCCATCTACCATACTTTATATTTTTAAGGTTCAGTTTTCCCAGTTATTGTTGCCAAATCAGGATAATTTATGTTATATGTCTTTGCTATTCATCCAAAGGACAAGAACATTCTGAGATATTGGGTGTGAACCGCTCGATGTGCACATTAACCTCACTAACTAAATAACTGCAGCAGTAAAGCCTTCCCTGAATTTATTTATTGCTTAAGGATTTATTTTTAAAACATTGTAACTGTGTTAAGCTCCTGAAACAACACAGTGCATCAAAATTTAAAATCCTTGAAAAAAATACAATTTAATTTAATTTTTTAAAATTGTGTCATGTTTGAGAAGAAAATAAAAAAATATTTTTTTTTGGGGGGGGGGGGGTTGTTATGAATATGTTAAAGAGCAACACATAGTAGATTGTACTTGTGAGAATTAAGGAAATTCTACATAGATTTCAGAACTTTTAACTCGAATTATAACTGCAGATATTGTTTGAGTGGGTAACTATCACTTTGATAAAAGTAGGCTCTGAATTGTTATTCTTTCTCCCAAAATAGCTTGCAGTAAGTCATATTAGTTGGAGGACATATAGAAAAAAAACCCATCAATAATCAACTGATTTTGATTTGTAATTAGATCTTACATCATCTCAGTTTTAATCTCACTGTTGTCTCTGATGGGTTGCTGTTTGGGATTGTTCTAGATTTAGGATTAAGTTTGGGATTGTTCTGGATTTAGGTCCATCTTTCTTTCCTTGAGCTTTGAACAGCTTGTCAGACAAAACCTTTTCCGCATTGTGATGCTGCCACCACTTCATTTTTAATTAATGAAGGCGTGTTTGAGGCCATGTGCATTTTTAGTTCTGAAGCTGTCACAGCAGCCATATCGATTTTATGATTGATATGTTCACTGGTGGACCATATAATAATTACTTGTATCAGATAAAATAGAATAAAAACAAATGCATCCAACATTGTTCAGGTTTATATTTGAAGACCAAACATTGGGGTAATTTTTATTTTCTCTGGCACAATAAATCTCCATAAATGTAATTGTAATTTCCCTCAGGGGTTATTAAAGTATGTCTGATTCTGATTCTGAAAATGGTTTACAGTTTATACATGACCAAGGCTGGGAACACATTCTGTGCTTTGTCTTGCAAATTGTCTGACATGTGCTGCAACCCTTTGATGGCTAACTCAGACTTACTCCTACATGACCTGATGTTTTAGATCATATCGTTTAATAAAGATTAGAGCCTTATCATCTGTCATGTTTGTGTGTCTACTAGGGTGGATCAGATTTTGGGAAAAGGGCAGATTGCTGTGGATAAGAAACCAAGAGACAAACTGCACCACGATGGAGACTCTTTGGAGGGCATGAGTATGCTTGGACGCGTGTGTAAAGTAGAACGACAGGTGTGTTTTTACAAAGAGAATACAAAATACATTTTTTTGAAACAATTTGATCTACTTTCAAATCTTAAGACACAGAAGAAAAGCACAAAAAATGCTTGATTATATACATACTGCACAAAAAAGGCTCAAAGTTAATTCAAACAGGCTGTTCAGACATTTTAATCCTGATAGAATTACCTTAAGTGTCAGAAGAGGAAACTAGTAAAAAGCTTGGCCGTTTTAATTTTTAAATTTTTTTTTTTTAGATAGATCCATAAGTAATTATTTGAAATATGTGTACTTGTCCCTCATTTTCACTAGTAAATAACACTCTGTGCCAATGGGATGAGTTTTTTTGGCCACCATGGGACCTTTGGCGTCCTGTTACTTGGAATAATATCATTCCCATCATTCTAAACTGCTTAACACACCCAGATGTTTTTTTTAAGGCTAGTTGAGTTTAAACATTGTTTCCAAATAGTTTTAGACAATTTTTTTTTTGTCTCATGCCCCATTTTTAAGCTGTACGAGCAAACTGCAGTGAGTCATTTTTTTCCCATCAGAGTAAAGACGGTGTATTACTAAATGTAAGGAGGTGAACTGTTTCAGCCTGCTGACTTGGTTTGCATTTACTGTAATCTCAGACCTGTTATTCAGGAAAAACTTGTCCTTGAGAGGTGATTAGTTTTGTTATTACATGAAGATTTTTGAAAGTGACATGCTTAACATTCTTTACTTATATGTTCACTGCATAATGTTATTGTTTTTTGCATTAAGGTTTCCTCTATCGAAACCAAGTTGGATTCTTTGCTTGACGTTTACCGCCAAGTTCTACAGAAAGGTCCCTCAGGGCTCTCCCTCTCCTCTCTGCCTCTGTTTGAGCTGGATAATCACCAGCACCACAACCTAGACTACCCATCCTCCCCCCAGAGGGGCGATAACGTTAGAGTTCGAGGAGACAATGGAGGCGGCGGGATACACCGTTCACATAGCGCCAACCCAAGAGGCTTGCGGCTCATCCTGCCACCCGCTGACGATGACGGCCCTCCGGACTCTGCGCCTCCATCTTACCCACCCTCCACCGCCTCTCTGTCCCCTTCCCCTCTGCTACCCCCAGACAGCCCTTACCCAACCCTCAACACCCCTTCCAAAAAGCCCCACTTTCCAGATCTACCACCTCCACCATCATCAAGTGGGAGTTTTACCCTCCAGCTTCCCCCTGTGGTACACCCATCAAACCTCCGATGCCCCGCCGAACCAGTCTCAGATCATTTGAGAGATGAAGTAGGAGCAGATGAGCAAAGTCTGGGCCCTACTGTTGTTGTAGGATGTAGTGCTGAGGATGATGCTGATGGGGGCAGGGAGGCAGAGTTTGCTCCAGGTAAGGTGCAGCTGCGCAAGAAGTCCGGCCTGAAATCCGAAGGAGTCTGGAGAAGGCATTTGAGCCTTGAGGTTAACCCCTGGCTGCTGCTCTCATCTAACTCAGAAAGGAGGTCTGCAGACTGGGCCGGCAGTCTAGGGAAATCCCTCTCTGCGCAAAATATCAACCAGCCTTTAACCAAACGTGCCCCCGGCCTCTCCTCCGCACTCAACAACAGCAGCAGTAGCAGCAACGACAGCGAGCGCGGGAACGGCCATAGCGACCTCAGCAACTGGGACGGAACAGAGCTCTTCATTAGTGAGCGTAAGCCGACAGCTTATAACTTTCTGTCCCAAGGACCGGACAGCAGCCAGTCTGACATTTTACAAACAGAAGAGGAGGATGTACCTCTTTCAAAGGGAAACTCTGAGTTCCTCAGTCAATCTTCACACTTACAGTTGGTGTGAGCACAAACGGCAAACTGTATGTATACACATACTGTGGCCAACGCCACTTTTAAAGATATTTATATAGGGCACCATGCAGATGCTCTGAATTTTGAATTTATACATCTACAAACAATGTTTTTTTTTTTGTAGACCTTGTGTTACATGATTATGATCATTTACATACCAGTTATATCCACCAACACACTTTTATATGGCACCTAAATGTTTGCATCCAGTAGGATAAAAGAATGTGCGACTGTGAATGCCAACAGCTGTGTTTATGTTACACACATACACACAGATAAGTTATTTTTTGTTAAAATAAGTGCATTTGTTCTTGGATTGAGGAGGTAAAAAAGACATTTTACCAATGGAAAAAGACAATTAATACTTAAAATAAGAAAAAATAATTGCATTGTCTTACTTCAAGTGCATATTATCTAATTATCTTATTTTAAGAAATAAACTACTCGTTCCATTGGTAATCTATCTCATTTACATCCTCAAATTAAGGGTAAATACAATTAATTTAAGAAATTTTTACTTATTTCTAGATTGTTTTTCCAGCGCAAAAAAGGACAAAAATTATATTCAGCACCTTGCAAAATTATAGACACTCCTTGGACCTGTATGTGTCTGTTTCAAATGCTTGTCAACCAAATGTTAATATCAGACATAGAGTAAATTCAAAAAGTCACATTTAGATTTCATAAGGTAAAAAAAAGCTATCCTTTATGAAAGTTTAACTTAAACCAGCACTGCTTGTTCTGACCCAAAAGCAACTTCCATTGAGCATCTGTATCAATAATTTTTGCTGTGAAAGAATTCAGTTTGTTTTGTTTTTCCCGAAATATTTTAATTCAGCCACATTTGAGAGTTTCAATGTTTAAGCTCATGGTAAAGCTTTTTAGTTGGATTTAAGTCCAGAGATTCTTTTTGTTTTGTCGTTTCATTCAGAAATCAACTTCCTGGTGTGCTTTGAATCACCAATCTTGGAGCTTTTCTGTTGCTTAATTTGGTGATGCTTAAGCAAACAAACCAAGAGCCGGACAATTCAAGTCCCAGAGCACCAGCCTACCACTACCATGTTCAACTGTCTGTAAGATGTTCTTTTTTTTTTTAACAGTCTGTTTTGTTATTGGTTCTTTTGGGACCTCCTAGATGAGCTGTTGATTCACTCTTTGAGTGAAATCAATAAACTAAGCCCCCCTGAGAAGGTTCACTGCTCTTACCATCATTTAATGGATTTTATTATTGTTCACTAGAGTCCCAGAGTCTTACAGTAGAAGTTGTTTTGTAACCCTTTCCAGTCTGGTAGGTTTCACGTCTATTCTTACAATTCTATAGATGGGGACCTAAAGTGTTACTCTTTGAATACTCTAAACATATTTCATCCAGTCAAACAGGTTCTATGTTAGTTATTTCTGTAGGTCAAGGAGCAATCAGCTCTGGTGGTTTGGATTTTTTCCACAAAAAACGTTATTAACCACACAGCTTATTTGGCTGGAATAGCTTTTCTCACATATTCATTGAAGTCATTGTTTTGTATTTACCCTTACAATCTTTGTCTGACATGATTTTTTTGTTCAATTTGAAACATTTTTATGGTGGTAAAAAAAAAAATCTATTAAAAGAGGAAGCAGCCTTATCCTCTGACCATCTTCCACACCTCTGCTGGGGAAAATAATCTCTGCAATATTCTGGCACAATTAGTATGTCTTTGGGGTGATGAGCGCCATGCACGTCAGAGCATGTCAGAAACTTCTTAATTTCATCATCATGTAAATTTTCAGTAAAATGCATTGATGTTTATGGTTATTGTGTGAAAAAAAACTGTGAAAGAGTTAAAGGGATGTGAATACTTATGCAAGGCACCTGACCTAGGAATCTTTCAGAAGAAAATGCACTCCCCCCCCCCCCTTTTTTTCTATCATAATCTTACAAAATAAGGATTTAAGTTTTGAAAAAAATCTGCTTCTCTTGAGGTGAGAAAAATGACAGTATAGATGATGTAAGTAAATTATGTGGCTCTTCACGTGTGAATATTTAACTTTTTTAATTAATCAATTTGGACCTCAACTTAAACAAAAATGCATGATTTTTTTCAGTTGAAGGAGAGAAAAAGAGACAACTTAAATATAAAAATAAATTAAAAAAAACTGGGTCTGCTTGAGACAATGTTCACCCTTAAAACTAGTGATGAACAGATACAAGTATAACCAGTAATCACGAGCACTAAATATGGTAGATGAGCCAACTAGAACAAAAACTCAGACTCACTTTGTTTTGTATAATTGATCAATTTGATCATTTTTCTTTAGGAAAAGACAAACCATGTTCTTTTCATTGATTGTTTGTCTTTAGTATTAAATCTCTTAATTTCTTTCCGTACACATATCACTTCCTTTAACACACATGTTATCAGAAATATACCCTGAGATGCATTAATTATATAATAGTGAGACGATATTCTACAGCTGCTTCAAGTCCCAATGACCTCCTCCTGTGTTTGCATCTGGTGAATCATGTGCTAATAATTTTGATGCTGATTTAGCAAAGACCTCCACAATCATGCATGAGAAGCTGCATGTTTGCAGCTGTTAATATTATTCAAAGACACAGTTACAAGATACAGTATGTTTCTGCACAGTTAAGTGTTTCCCCAAAGCCTTAAAGCTAAACATACATACTCATTTTTTCCTGTTTGAGCATTTTTTTTTTTTTGTTCTAATTTGGAATATTTTGACACTGTATAATTTTATTGACAGCTTACTACATCAACACAAGTGCATACAACACATCACTGGGATCTGTGTTTCTTTTTCCTGCCAAAGACAGAGTAAAAAGCTGCTGTGCTGATGAAAGCTTCAGTTTAAACAACAAGTGAAGGAGGTGTGTTGTTGGGAAGAATGTGCTGTTTTTAATGCTACATGCATATTTTGTGTTTACTCTCTACCCTAATTTTATATTTTTTAATTGCAAGCGTTCAACAGTAAAATTGTATGGAGACGTCAAACTGAAAAATTTAAGAACATTTTCAAAAATAAGCTGATGTCCTTTAAGATTAATTGTATAAATATGGAAAAAATAGGGAATTGTAAAACTGTTAAAGTGAAATTACTGTAGGTTCACTTGCAGGCTTTAAAAAAAATATTTAATGTATTTTTTCTCTTCAAATCTGTTTCTTAAGTGATCCACAAAAGATTTCAGCCATTTTTGTTTCTTCTACATTTTATTTTTTATTTTGATTCATTTTGTCACACTTAAAATATACGTTTCCATCAATTATTTCCTTCATTGATATTGTGATTTTCTTTTTCTGCTTTAGCCCCTGTTTAGAAAGCAGATTGCTAATAATTTAACACTGAGAGTTATAGCAAGTATTATTTTCAGAAAAATGCTAACAGTTAACATTTATGTGATTTTCTTCAATATGCTTTCATCCATAAAATAACTTGTTGTGGCAAAAAAAAGAGAGAGAAAGAAATACATTTTCATATTAAACAGCACAGTTTCTAGTGAATCGATGGGCCTGGTGATGTGATATTTGATGTTCATAGCTGCATGATTTTGGAACTGATTTGTTGCTTTAAAAATGTGGCTGCATATGGAAAACCCTACAGGCCAAAGGAATTATGGATGAAAGAAAATAATGAGGCTGTACTTCCCATGACAACATGTTATATTTTGCAGTCTGTAATTATTTAAAGGTGCCTTTTCTGCTCATAGATTGCGTTTATTTCCACTCAATGCCTACAACATATTATATTTGATTGTATTGAAATCCAACTGCTCATTTTGGACTGGACATCCAGTTCCATTAAGCCATCTGGCTTTAAGACTTTACGACTTCAATGGCCAAAAATTCTTAAAAACTGATCTATGGCTTGAACAGTAATTTATTACACAGCTGGCCTTAAAGCTTGATAATGTTAACATTATTATTTCTTTGAAATTAATTTATTAAAGCGCACATTATATTCTCTGGATGAGAAATGCAAAAATGATTTTATTATTCATTAATAAAGTATGGATTAACAAAACGATTTGTTTCATGGAGTTTTCT